GAGGCTGAGGCTGGTGGATCACCTGAGGTCAGGAGTTCGAGAACAACCTGGCCAACATGGTGAAATTCCATCTCTACTAAAAATACAAAATTAACCAGGTGTGGTGGCACATGCCTGTAGTCCCAGCTACTTGGGAGGCTGAGACAGGAGAATCGCTTGAACCCAGGAGGCAGAGGCTGCAGTGAGCCAAGATCACACCACTGCACTCTAGCCTGGGCAAGCCAGAGTGAGACTCCATCTCAAAAAATAAATAAATAAATAAAAATAATAAGTAATAAATAAATAAATGTGAAAGACACAACTTATCACAGTCAGGGAGATGGGATTGCTAAGAACAGTGTAGGATTCTAATGCCTTCAGATTTCTTCGCTTTTATAGTTTTCACTATCCTCTTTTATTTTCTGTTAACTTTCAGGAAAATGCTTGAAATAAAAAACACTGAGTTGCTATGATCTCAGGGGGCAGCAAGGAATGGGAGAAGAGAGCAAGGAAAACGTAGGCACCTGGTTCCCTCCACCCTGCTATCTTGGCCCAAAACAGAGTGCAAAATTTGCTGTGCTACTGGGCAGAAATTTTTAAGTAAATCAAACCAACATTTTCTGTTTTGGTATAAAACGTTTAAAGAAAATGAAAGTTTTACACTACTTACTATTAATCCTTAAAAGCATAGTTGATTTAGATGAGGATTTCTCCACAGCAGTATCCTTAACACTTTGAGCCCAATACTTCCTTGTGGGAAGCTGTCCTATTCACCACAGGATGTTTGGCAGCATCCCTCAGGACATCAGTGGCACCCCTCTACCTACTCGAGTTGCAACAACCACAGATGTCTCCAGACATTGTCAAATGTACTCTGGGGGCTAATATTACCTCTTGTTGAGAATCACTTATTTAGACAAGACTTGACAATACTTAAAACCTGTTGGAAGTCTTCTCCAAAGTGCAAACCCCTAAAGAAGTACCTTTTCTTCTATAAAATGGACACTATTCCTTCAGTGACAGAGCCTTGTACCACACAACTATAGTTGTGGCCCTCTCCCTGGTTCCCACCCACAAACTCTTAAAGCAGGATAAATGATAACGCAATAATTCTAGTTGTTTATAAACCTTTTTACTCATACCTTTCATACCGAATCATTATCTGTCAAGAGACTCCACAACTTTTTAAGCTCTTACTAATTTAAATAATAAATGAGGTTCTTAAGCCCCCTTGTGGCGAAAAGCAGTAACAAGAATTATATCAGAAGAGGGAAAAATATTGAAGCACAGTCAATATATGAAATTTCTTTACCCCAATATAAAATATCTGGTTTTCCATCAAAGGGGAAGAGAGGTGAATGCTGCAGAACAATTGTTCCACTAAGGGAAATTATGAAATTAGATAAAACAATTTCTTAAATTAGTTGGTGTATTAGTTCATTTTCACACTGCTGATAAAAACATACCCAAGACTGGCAATTTACAAAAGAAAGAGGTTTATTTGACTTATAGTTTCACATGTCTGAGGAGGCCTCACAATCATGGTGGAAGGCAAGGAGGAGCAAGTCACGTCTTACATGGGTGGCAGCAGGCAAAGAGAGAGCTTGTGCAGAGAAACCCCTGTTTTTAAAACCATCAGACTGCCGGGCGTGGTGGCTCACACCTATAATCCAGCACTTTGGGAGGCCAAGGAGGGTGGATCACAAGGTCGGGAGTTTGAGACCAGCCTGACCAACATGGTGAAACCCTGTCCCCACTAAAAAAATCAAAATTAGTCATCCATGGTCGCCCATGCCTGTAACCCCAGCTATTTGGGAGGCTGAGATAGGAGAATCACTTGAGCCTGGGAGGTGGAGGTTGCAGTGAGCCAAGATTGCACCACTGCACTCCAGCCCACTCACTATCACAAGAACAGCACGGGAAGGACCTGCCTCCATTATTCAGTCATCTCCCACCGGGTCCATCCCACAACACATGGGATTATGGGAGCTACAAGATGAGATTTGGGTGAAGACACAGAGCCAAACCATATCAGTTGGTAACTGCGCAGTTTAAAATCAATAGATTACAGAGAGAACCAGAGTGCTCTAAGAAAAAAAAAAAAAAGTTAGAAAAAACTTTGTGTAATTAAAAAAAATGAACAAAATGAAAAAAAACTGAGTCCTTATTTTTATTATACTTTGTGACTATAAACAAGTCACCTAACTTCTGTGTGTCTTAGAGTCCTGACCTAAATGCAAAATAAAATAAATTGTAGAGCTAAGACACTTTAGACATCATGTAATCCAAGTATTCCTTAAAAAAAACTGAGTACCATAAAGGTTTAGTAAAACCATAGTAAGAATCATGCATATACTCTAAGTTCCCCTCCAACTTATTCTATGATCTAGATCCAATTTTTACATATAAAAATTAAATGGCTCAAGCCTGTAATCCCAGCACTTTGGGAGGCTGAGACGGATGGATCACGAGGTCAGGAGATGGAGACCATCCTGGCTAACACGGTGAAATCCCGTCTCTACTAAAACAATACAAAAAACTAGCTGGGCGAGGTGGCGGGCACCTATCGTCCCAGCTACTCAGGAGGCTGAGGCAGGAGAATGGCGTAAACCCGGGAGGCGGAGCTTGCAGTGAGCTGAGATCCGGTCACTGCACTCCAGCCTGAGCGACAGAGCTACACTCTGTCTCAAAAAAAAAAAAAAAAAAAAATTAAATGGTGGCAAATCAATGTGTAAAGAAAAATGAATGATGTGGTTATCTATACTTCAAAAAGCAGAAAGGGAAACAGGTTGATACTAACTGACATGACAAGTGCCCGTCAGCGAGTCAGGTAAAATCTCAGTTCCAGGGTACCCTGGGTAGGTATGGGATGGGAATCAACACCTTAAGGATCAACACTTGAGGGAAAAGGATTTGAGGAGAGAAGTAGAAGTCCTCAGCTGACCCTGCAGGAGGCTCTGAAGCTAGGATTGTCCAGGTTTAGGTGGTCATTTTCTGAAACAAGGGGTTGCTCATGTGAATCGGTTATTGTGTCCAGAGTACCCTAGAGAAGAGCTATGACCTTGAGCAAAACAGCAGCATTTTCCAGAGAGAATTGAGACCTTAGGGCTTCATCTGGTAGCACTCCTGACAGGGAAAATGAGAGGAATAAGTCTTTTGATCTGAAGGGAGCATCTGGGTAGCGCATCTCAGCATCCAGTGCAGTAGACAAGCCTGAGTAGTGTACCATAGTCTCTTACCCTCAACACACCACCCTGAGCCTGATGGCAGAACAGAAGTAGAGAGGAGCCAAGAAGTAGTAATGTCTCTGTGTGCCTCGGAAGCCAGAGCTCTGCTTTGGTCATTTTATACCCAAGCAGTGCTCAATGAACAGAGAAATCAGGAAAGTCAGGTTGGAGTGCAAATCCTGAGTTCACCCTTTGGGCAAATTAATTGACTTTTAATGTTGGTTTCTTCTGGGACATATTTTCTAGGCATATCCTTCCTCATACCTATTTCCACTTAAACCTCTGGCCACAGTGGTGATGTTTAATTAAAAAGAGACTATGGGGCCAGGCATGGTGGGTCATGGCTGTAATCCCAGCACTTTGGGAGGCCGAGGAGAGTAGATCACCTGAGGTCAGGAGTTCAAGACCAGCCTGGCCAACATGGTGAAACCTTGTCTCTACTAAAATACAAAACTCAGCCAGGCATGGTGGCATGCACCTGTAATCCCAGCTACTTGGGACGCTGAGGCAGGAGAATTTCTTGAACCTGGGAGGCGGAGGTTGCAGTGAGCCAGGTTCATGCCACTGCACTCCATCCTGGGCAACAGAGCAAGACTCCATCTCCCCCCCTCCCTGCCCCACCACAAAAGGGGAGAGAGAGAGAGACTATGGTACCCCACTCAGGTTTGTCCACTGTAGTGGATGCTGTTATGTACTGTCCAGATCCTCCCTTCAGATCAAAGGACTATTTCCAGTCAAAAATGTCAATTTCATATATGGCTTATCCATATATATGTCTTACCAACTTAGTTGTCAGTTTCTTGAAGAGTTCATGTTTTCACTATCTTGCATTTGATCATATGTTTTATTGGTATAATACTTTATTGTATGCAAATCCTCCTACACAGGTGATCCCACTTGGATTATTCTGTGAAATAGGGCCTTTACAATGTTGCAGATGAAAACACTGAAGCCCATAGAGAGTAAGTGACTTGCCCAGGGTCACACAATCATGTGATTGAATTCAGGTGCCTAAGCCCATATCCCCAGACACCAAGTTGAATATTTGTTACTGAAGAGGATACAGCCTTTATGTTTATTAATGCTTCATGGTTCATAAAGTGCTAACAGAGATTATCCCATTTGACTCAAATAATGATCTGGCAAGATTTTTGTGGCTGGTGCTATTATACACATTTGATGAATGGAGACTCATCCATCAAAGAAACATACTGCTTCCTATCTGATACGCAAGCCACTAGGCCAAGTTGAAGAGAGCCAAGTATGAATGTGTCCAAACCCCTTCAATCAACAAATTCACAATCTAGTGCAGGAGATGGACACCTTATTGACTATTATCGTTTGACAAATGCTAAATAAATGCTAATATAGCATGACAAATGATAAAGCTGAAGTATATACACAAAGTTATGTAAATGAAAAGAGAAAATATTCTGTTTCCTGGGAGTATTGGTAAAGTCTGCAAGAAAGGGTGATGCTTGCTCTGTTCTTTGTAAGGCTGTCTTCAGGTGGAAAACAATGTAAAATTCCTCAGGAACAGGATGAAAGACACACTGTTGTAATAGTGTATAGTCTTCCCAATAAAAAGCTCCAACACTGAATAACTTGCCAAAGTCTCTTGGTTGGTAAGTAGTCAAGCTGGCGTTGGAACCAAACTTTTGCTTCCCAGCTAATGCTCTCTTTTCCCAGTGTGTTATACAAAGGTGGTAGCACTTAATACGTGGGATATACTATGATGCAATACTTTCTTCATGCTCTCCTAATGCAGATTTTTTTTCCTTTACTCTTTTCCAGTGTTCCAAGATGTACATGTTATGATATTTGTTGGGTTTGGCTTCCTCATGACCTTCCTGAAGAAATATGGCTTCAGCAGTGTGGGTATCAACCTACTCATTGCTGCTTTGGGCCTCCAGTGGGGCACTTTTGTACAGGGAATCCTGCATAGCCAGGGACAGAAAATTACCATTGGAATCAAAAAGTGAGCATCCTTACTATGGGCTGAATGTTTGTGTCCTCCAGAATTCATATATTACACTCTTAACCTGCAACATGATGATATTAAGAGGTGGGAGATTTGGGAAGTGACCAAGTCATGAAGGCAGAGTGCTTATGAATGGGGTCAGCGTCCTTGTGAAAGAGGTCCACAGGAGACTCCTCACCCCTTCCACTATGTGAGAACACAGCTAGAAGGCACCACTTCCCAATCAGAAAGGGAGCCCTCATCAGACACCAAGTCTGTCAGCATCTTGATCTTGGGCTTCCCAGTCTCCAAAACCATAAGAAATAAATTTATGTTATTTATAAACAACCCAGTTTATGGCATTTTGTTATAGCAGTTCAAACAGACTAAACAATTCTTTATTTTTCAGCCATTGCATTTTCAGATCAATCGTTTCTCTGGTAGTCCACTATCATTTACTGTGCTGGCTGGCAAATTGCCTCCCTTATGTAACAGAAAATTGTTGAAATTCAAAAATCTGAATCAATGCCTTGCTCTACTGAGCTGGATAATACATTCATGTCTGTAATCTCTCTGGTTTGACTTTGAGGATATGAGAAACCCTCTTCCATAAAAGTATTATTCCTTCCATCTCAGCTACAGGGAGCAAAAAATTCCCATTCATTATTTTTCAGATTGTTTCTAAAGCGTAAACATGTATTCTTGTCATGCAATAGTAAACACATACTCCAGAAATAATTCACTTATTAAATCAACGAATATAAAGTAAAACCCTAAATGAGATAAAAGGTAAGTTAAAATATATACATTAGAGCAACTAAAGAAACTCTTTAGTTGGAGGAGGAGTAAGGAAGTGGGAGATGATGAGTAAGCCTGGGAAGCACCGGATGGGCCTGGTGGGAGATGGGATTGCACTTTGGTCAGTTTTATGTTAGGTGTGCATTACTCTTCAATTTATTCTTGTTTCCCCTCAGCATGATAAATGCAGACTTCAGCACAGCCACAGTTCTGATATCTTTTGGAGCTGTCCTGGGAAAAACGAGCCCCACCCAAATGCTGATCATGACAATTATAGAAATTGCTGTATTTGCTGGCAATGAATATCTGGTTGGTGAAATATTTAAGGTAAGAGTTAGAAAATTTATACTTACCTAGCTTTGGGCATCGGTTCTGGCTACAAAAAACAATGGATGTCTACGGTATATGGGAGCAAATCTTGGTGAGAGTGATACCATAGCAAATAGTAACAATAACCATCATTTACTGAGTGCCTACTGTTAAGTAGGAGTTTTGTAAACATTATCTCATTTCATCTTCACAACAACACTGCATGGTAGGTATTATTTTTATTATCATATATATACACCATAAAAACTGATTATCACAGATACTGAATGACTTGCCAGAGTCCGAATTCACCTCCAGATTGTTCTAATTCCTCAACTCTTCTTTTGCCCATCAATGATCAATTCCTTTTTATATTTTTACTACTAGGTGAATAGCCCTATATAAAGCCTTCTAGTGGTTTTTGTTAAGGCCTCAGTCAAACTTTTTTCTCCACAAATATTTCACTGATTCCTCCCAGGAATAATAAATAAATAAAGAACACTTTGGGGCACTCTCTAGTACTTTGTGATTTTGTTTATATTTCTATTAACGTCAAATCAACTGCAAATATTTTTGACAACTTTCTAGATGTTGGGGACTCAATGACAAACAAAATATGAAAGTTCCTGTTTTTATAGAGCTTACACTCTAGTGGGAGAGACAGAAAACAAATAAAGAATTGCACATTCATCTACCCACCCAAAGACACAAACACACAAATGTTATTATAAATTGCAATACATGCTATGAAAAATATGTACGGTGGGACTATGAGAAAGTGTAACTGGAAGATTAGTTTAGATTATAGAATCAAGGAGGGGTTCCCTGACGAAGTGACAGTTACACTGGACCTAAAAGATACCTAGAAGTTTTCAAGTAACTAGTGGAGAGAAACGTTCTTCAAGCCAAAGTAACAACAACCACAGTCTTGAATTGGTGATGAAGAACTAAAAGAAAACTTTTAGAGTAAGGTGAAAGGACTTGACCGATACCAGATGAAACCACCAAGGTAAGTGGGTCCGATTAATAAAGACTCTGTCAACTCTGTGTGCTAGCTGAATGAAGACTTATTCGATGATTTCAAAGGGAAAAATAGAAGGTTATCTTGCCTACAAATATGTGAGCATTTCAAGAGAGGCACAGGCTCACATGGTATTTGGAAAGTCCAAGCATGATTAATCACCACCTCCCATCTTCCTGAAGCCACCTGGTGAAGCAAAGCAAGGTTTCCCAGCTGGAAGGGGACTAAGTGTTGCTGGGAGGGTAAAGATTGCTAGATAGCTCATATATGCTGGGAAGATATTTGACTCATTCCAACCAAGTGTGGATCTTCAAGGGGACTGGGTCTGTCTATGTCTAGCAAACAAAGGAACAACAACTAGGAGACCATTTTTACTTAAATTTGGAAATCTTTCATAAATAGATATGTGTCATCTTACTGTCTATAAGTACAGATGAATGTCTAGAATTTGACCCTCTGAGTATTCCCTCTAGGGGATGGAAATGTAGAAAACTGGGTCAAATCCACACCATATCCTAAAGAGGAATCTAAATCTCTTCAAATGAATCTGGGACCTCAACTGGTTTTCAGGTCATCATAGAGCCAAATAAAAAAACAAATATGGGTAAAAATTCTGGTTTTTTGAAGTTTCAAGTCTTGAATTACAATTAAGTGAGCTTTAACTGCAATTTCAAGTGAACATATCATCTTCGTTTTTTATCACAAGCAATATCTATCTATTTATTTATTTATTTATTTATTTATTTATTTATTTTGAGATTAGTTCTTGCTTTGTCACCTAGGTTGGAGTGCAATGTGACAATCATAGCTCACTGTAACCTCAAACTCCTAGGCTCAAGTCATTCTCCTGCCTCAGCCTCTCCAGTAGCTGGGACTACAAGGCAGGCACCACCATGCCAGGCTGTGCAATACATATTTCACTCAAAATCTCCATCACCTAGAGAAGTAACCTTGCATGTCTTGTGTGCCCACTAGGGAACTAGTGCTTTAGAAATGTGGTCTTAGCTAAGTCTCACCACAAACTCTGTTGAGTGTGGGTAACATTTCCCCATTTTACAGAACCCTTAGATCAGAGATGTTTAATAATTTGTCTAAAGTCACATCGCAAGGAAGTAACTGACCTAGGATTGAAAGTCAGTGGTGTGTGGCCCCAAATTCTGTGCTATTTCTATTTTACTCCCTGTTTTACCCCTCTTTCTCTGACACAATCTTTCTGTCCCTCTTTAATTTTTTTAAGTTGTTTAATCAACAATGCAATTCTTTCATTGACTTTCCTCCCATAAATGAGTCTCAGGTTCACCTCTATTTATATGAATGTTATCTTGTCCCTTCAGGCCTCTGACATTGGAGCATCAATGACGATCCATGCGTTTGGGGCCTACTTTGGCTTGGCTGTAGCAGGCATCTTGTATCGATCTGCACTGAGAAGAGAGCATAAAAATGAAGAGTCCACTTACTACTCAGACTTGTTTGCAATGATTGGTGAGTGTGGATAAACTTGCTTGAACCTTATCTATTTGAAAAGGGGCCAGGGAAGGTTAACGTCAACACAGGTGTGAAATGCTCAAAAAAAACCATCCAAGCCAAGCATGGTAGTGAACGACGGTAGCCTCAGCTACTCAGGAGACTGAGGTGGGATTGCTTGAGCCCAGGAGTTTGAGTCCAGCCTGGGAAACACAGTAAGACTCCATCTCTAAAAAATAATAATAGTAAATTTAATTAAACTTTGAAAAAAGGAGCATCTTTTGCATACTACTTTATGCTGGCTCAATTCTTGTCTTTTCTCTTAACAGTAGATAATCCAGCCTAAAGAGAGACATTGTCAGTGGCCAAAGGAAACTACATCCTCCAGGCTGGGCGCAGTGGCTCACACCTGTAATCCCAACACTTTGGGAGGCCAAGGCGGGTGGATCACGAGGTCAGGAGTTCAAGACCAGCCTGACCAACATGCTGAAACCCCATCTCTACTAAAAATACAAAAAAAAAAAATTAGGTGGGCATGGTAGCCCGCACCTGTAATCCCAGATACTCAGGAGGCTGAGGCAGGAGAATTGCTTGAACCCAGGAGGTGGAAGTTGCAGTGAGCAGAGATCGAGCCACTGCACTCCAGCCTGGGCGACAAAGGGACACTCTGTCTCAAAAATAAATGAATAAATAAAGCAAGCTGCATCTTTTGGACTGTCTTCCATATTCAGAACTAATATCCCCTCTTTGGGTTCACTACAGGGACTCTCTTTCTATGGATGTTTTGGCCCAGCTTTAACTCGGCCATTGCTGAACCTGGAGACAAACAGTCCAGGGCCATTGTAAACACATACTTCTCTCTCGCTGCCTGTGTGGTCACAGCCTTTGCCTTCTCCAGCCTAGTGGAGCGCCGAGGCAAGCTCAACATGGTAAGTGCCGCCTTAGCCCTCATGGAAATTTCACTTCACGACACTGACAGTTGCTCAGATAAGTAGTAGGTAATTTCCACATCACTGCTGAACTCCCAAGACAAATCAGAAGCACACTTTGTAGAATGTTTAAAAATAGCAACATTTATTCATTAATTCACTTATTCATCAAATCTGTACCCTAGGCTGGGTGTGGTGGCTCATGCCTGTAATCCCAGCACTTTGGGAGGCCTAAGCAGGAGGATTACCTGAGGTCAGGAGTTTGAGACCAGACTGGCCAACATAGTGAAACCCTGTCTCTAATAAAAATACAAAAAAAAAAAAAAAAGTTAACCAGACATGGTGGTGTGCACCTGTAATCCCAGCCACTTAGGAGGCTGAGGCAGGAGAATCGCTTGAACCTGGGAGGTGGAGGTTGCAGTGTGCCATTGCACTCTAGACTAGGCAACAAGAGTAAAACTCCGTCTCACACACACACAAAAAAACCAATAATAATAATAAAAATTACCCTGGAAAATTAAAAAATGTTCTCAAGGAATTTACAGTCTAATAGAGAATGAAGGTAGTCTTGTAAAAATCTTTGATTTGAAGTATATTTCTTTAATAATAGAGTTAACTGCTCCCAAGTTCTGAGAAAAGATTTCTTAGAAACAAGATTTATCAAACAGCAGAAAAAGAGAGTGGGATGATGCACACTGATTCTATTTTCCCAACTGCAAACATTCCTCTCAAAGAAATAACAAGCAAATGCAATGTGGGATCTTCAATAAGATACTGGAAAAAATTTCAGTGGGAATAATGGTGAAATTCAAATAAGGTCTTTACTAGTATTTTATCAATGCTAATTTCCTTTCCATGGTTATGTAAGTAAGATTAACATCTTATTTGAGAAAATGGATGAGGGATATATGGAAACATTCTGTAGTATTTTTACAACTTTTATGTGTCTGCAATTAGTTTAAAATAAAATATTTTTAAAATTTCCCCAGATTAGTCTCTTGAGTTTCTTGCTTATGAGCTAGAGAAACACCAGTAAAGGAGTAACCCGTCAGATCAGCCAGTCTACCTTTCTAGCTGGGTGGGGCAGGTGGGGTGGAGTGGGGAGGAAAAGGCTATTGTAATTTATTTTTTAAGCATAGCTGAGGACATGTATCTTAATTCTCCACAAATTGTCTCATGAGAGGTCATTAAAAACAATGAAAATAAAAAATTGCACAGTTCAGTGTTTCTCTTTTAAAAGTACGATGACCTCTGCTTCTCAGACAGAACAGCCAGACTGTAATTTTTCTGAGAAATTCTGCTAAACAAAAATTGATTCCTGGCCAGGCACGGTGGCTCATGCCTGTACTCCCAGTGCTTTGGGAGGCCAAGGCAGGTGGATCACCTCAGGTCAGAAATTCCAGAATAGCCTGGCCAACATGGTGAAACCCCATCTATACTAAAAACACAAAAATAACTGGACATGGTGGCATGCACCTGTAATTCCAGCTACTAGGGAGGCTGAGGCAGCAGAATCACTTGAACCCGGGAGGTGGAGGTCACAGTAAGCCAAAATCATGCCACTTCTCTCCAGCCTAGGAGACAGAGCAAGACTCCATCTCAAAAAAAAAAAAAAAAATCAATTCTTCTGTCCTTCATCCTCAAATGCCCTCAATCCAGTGACATTTGCAAAAACTATTGTCTTTCATATGTAATGTGTACGTTTCAACGTCTCTACATTTCCTCTTTGAATATTGGAATATCATAGACTACAAAACACACGGTGGCCATAGTCATCTTTTGGTTCATGATAACCACAAATGTGTTCCCAAAACTGCACAAATAGACAAAACATTGCGAGAATATTTACTCTAAACACTTCTACCCTCCCACTACAACATCTTTTGATTTTCTCAAATGCTTTCCACCACTGGCCTTAATGAGTTAAACTGATTACTCATTCACTACCAAGGGACTGGCAAGAAAGATACCAAATGTCAACTTCTCGGAAAAAAGGCCTTCTATAAATCCAAACAACCCTCTTTTTAAAAAAGAACCAATAGCCCTTTCAGCTGAAGAATGTGATATGGGTCTCTTGAACTCTAGAATCCTCTGATCCTTCTAAATTCTCCATCATCCAGCTTGCCTCATTTATGTTTCTGCTGCTCACACAGGTTCACATTCAGAATGCCACCCTTGCTGGAGGAGTTGCCGTGGGCACTTGTGCGGATATGGCAATTCACCCATTCGGTTCTATGACCCTTGGGAGCATTGCAGGAGCGGTCTCTGTGATTGGATACAAGTTCCTGACTGTAAGTACGGCAGATATTCTCAGTCAAACTCTGAATATGCACCATTTTTCTCACATGTCCCACCAGCAGAAAAAAGCTATGAAGTTTTATTTTATAAACATTTTTATTTGGAGGCCATTTGCCTTCTTTTAGGAAATACTACTCCCATTTCAGTGGTTCAGTGGTTCTACTCTGCCCTAACTTCTGTGTAACAGGAAAGAATCTGATATCAATTATTTATAATTTAGTTTGAATTAAATGTTAAGTACATGGACATTACTTTCCTTTGGGGCTGTTCCATTGAAGTTGTTGTTGTCATTCGTCTTATGTAATTAAGGACTCTGCTCTTTTAAGAGATTTAGGATGTCGGCCAAGCATGGTGGCTCACACCTGTAATCCCAGCACTTTGGGAGGCTGAGGCGGGTGGATCACCTGAGGTCAAGAGTTCGAGATCAGCCTGGCCAACATGGTGAAACCCTCGTCTCTACTAAAACAAACAAACAAACAAACAAACAAAAACTACAAAAATTAGCCAGGCATGGTGGCAGGCACCTGTAATCCCAGCTACTGGGGAGGCTGAGGCAGGAGAATCGCTTGAACTCAGGAAGCAGAGGTTGCAGTGAGCCGAGATGGCGCCATTAGCCTCCATCCTGGGTGACAGAGTGAGACTCCATCTCAAAAGAAAAAAGAAAGAGAGAGAGATTTAGGATGTCATCAGTAGGTGAGAAGCAGTAGGATGTGAAATGACTCCCTTCAAACCCATCCACTAAAGACTGAAATGGCCAGTTTTGCCACAAATATCTACTCAAATCCTTTAACTTAAGTGGACTTCAGATGTGGATGGAGATCTGTGCTATACACAAAATTTCTTCTGGGTGGAGAAGAAAATGGGGAGATGTAGGTCAGAGAATGCAAAGTAGCAGAAATACAGAATGAACACTTCTCAATGCACAGCATCACGATTATAGTAGTAAAGTTGTACTGTATATCTGTATACAAGATTTATTCTAAATGAGGAGATTTTTAGCTGCTTTTACCACAAAAACAAATAACTATATAAGATGATGGAGACGTTAATATTCTTCACTATAGTGACTTTTTTTACTCTCTATATGTACCTCATAACATCATGTTGTATACCTTAAATATACATAAAAAATAATTATAAAATAATTCTGCATGGAAGAATAGAGCTCAGCTATAGCTCTGCTTCAGTTCTATACTGTAACAAAATAATAAACTTTCCTCCTTTTAAAATTTTAGCCACTTTTTACTACGAAACTGAGGATCCATGATACATGTGGGGTCCATAACCTCCACGGCTTACCTGGTGTAATAGGAGGCCTTGCAGGCATTGCGGCAGTAGCATTGGGCGCCTCCAACACGTGAGTAAGAGAATGGGTTTTCCATCCCCTGTGGTCCCATGATGTTTTCTCTCACTTTGAGAAATTAGTGATGGGAGAGTTTTCATTTTAGCAGTTCTGACCATGGTCTGTATTGTCTTTACTGGAGCCAAAGAGACGCACCTGAGAGAGAAGATCATTAGAACAAAATTACATTGGAAGAGGCATCTTAACTGAAATTGTTAATTTAAAAAAATTAACAATTTTATTTTAAATGTCTTTTCCAGAAACAACTGTCTCCTAGCAGATGGGGAAATTTGATAATCACATTTAGATTATAGAAGGCTTAGTCTTTTTCTTGATCCCTCCAAAATGGAGGAGGAGGCACATATGATGAACTGAACAGTCAGTTCCATCCAATCCATACAAAGAAGAATGAGTTGGAATAAGACAGAAAGCAGAATCAACAACACTGGTATATGGCCCCAACTCTGCTACTAACTAGTTACGTCACCTCTGAGGTATCACTCAGCATTTCTGGTTTTCAGTCTTCTCCTTTGTAAAATAAGAAGATTGGAATATTTATTCTCCAAAATCCCTTCTAGCTCTATCAGACGTAGATTCTTCCCTGAGTTGGGTATACATGTTTACTTAAATGACCAGAGGAAGAACAACTATCAAGCAAACCCCAGAGAATGGAAGGGATGTCACAATACTGGAACGACTTGGTATGAATGTCATCCATGTGAAAAAGCTAGGAAGATCGTAGAGTCCAGATCCCTCAGAGTAAACAAAGAGGAATCAGAATGCTCAATTTTATAAAATTGTGCATACTTTAAGGTCTGGGATACATGTGCAGAACTTGCAGGTTTATTACATAGGTATACACGTGCCATAGTGGTTTGCTGCACCCATCAACCAGTCATCTAGGTTTTAAGCCCTGTGTGCATTAGGTATTTGTCCTAATGCTCTCCCTCCCCTTGTACCCCACCTCCCAACAGGTCCAATTGTGTGATGTTCCCCTCCCTGTGTCCATGTGTTCTCATTGTTCAACTCCCACTTATAAGTGAGAACATGTGGTGTTTGGTTTTCTGTTCCTGTGTTAGTTTGCTGAGAATGATGGTTTCCAGCCTCATCCGTGTCCCTGCAAAGGACATGAACTCATTTTTTTTATGGCTGCATAGTAGAACACTCAATTTTTAAATCCAATTGAAAGCATGAAGAAGAAGGAAATGTATGTCTAGAAATGTCTGAATGACCACTAATTTAAAAAGAAAAATCTTATCTTCAATTTTAGCAGATTAAAATTTAACCCCGTTGAGATCAATAATAGTACATACTTGAAAAACTCATTTAATCATATCTCCTACTACGTAGTTTGCTTCCTTCTTCATGTGTACAATTGACACATTTCTTCTATATGTTTTTTAACCCTTTTTGCAAATTTAGAAGACAACTCCAGAATATGCACATCTTTTTCAGTTCCAGAGACTGCAGAAATCAAACACGAAAATATTTTAATGCAAATTAAGCATGATAAAAGCATGTGTGAATGAGCTCAACTCCTTAGTGTTGCAGTGTGCATACACTGTGCAAACACACTAGGAGATGCCTATGGTTAAGAATTCTTGAGCATCATGCCTAGACCAGTTTCACAGATGCAATAAAACTAGTCTATTTGGCTCTCAAAGGGCAGGCCTCGCTGGGTGGTCAGACATTGGGTAAGTCTCAGAGTTGTGGGTCTAGTCCTTGAAAATGCAGATTTAGAAACATCTTCTCAATTTATTCGTTGGTGGGGTCAGGAGGTAGAGGAATATCAGAGGGGAAGGGGGGCAAGCCTTGAAGGTCCATTCACTTGGGTAAAATTTACATATCTCACACCAAATAAAATATCGCCTGAGGGCCAGGACTACTTACATGTGTCTCTTCAGAATATTAAAATGCAAATCAGGTTTTTGATAAGCATAGAACAAGGGAAAGTTTAATAATCTTAAGGGACATTTTTGCAAATTATGGCAGCATAACTTTAGTAATGCTGTTAATTTTGTATAAGTCATTGTTTTCCAAGTTTATTTGATCACAGAACACTTGTTATCAAAAATATCTTTTAAGACCTTGTAAAAGATCTTGGCAAATTCCTGTAAAAATAACAGGAAATTTACAAAAGAAGAAAATCAAATAAATAAGTATATATAAAATACTCAACTTCATTTGTAATCAAAGAAATGCAAATTAAAACAAGCTACCAGTTTTTCACTTATCAAAGTGATAAAGCATGAATGAATAATAATAATACTGAATAGTGGCTAAAGTAAAAAATTGGAATCAAAATTGTACAATTTTCTATTTGGAAAAGTTCTTAAGAAGTATATAGGCCGGGCGCAGTGGCTCAAACCTGTAATCCTAGCACTCTGGGAGGCCGAGGCAGGTGGATCATCTGAGGTCAGGAGTTTGAGACCAGTCTGGCCAATATGGAGCAACCCCGTCTCTACTAAAAATACAAAAAGTACCCAGGCATGGTGGTGGGCGCCTATAATCCCAGCTACTTGGGAGGCTGAGTCAGGAGAATTGCTTGAATGTGGAGGGAGGAGATTGCAGTGAGCTGAGATCACCTCACTTCACTCCAGTCTGGCAACACAGCGAGACTCCGTCTCAAAAAAAGAGGTATATGTAGCCTTTTACTAATATTCTCATTTCTAGATAGGTTTTATATTAGGAAAATAATCAGACAAGTTCATAAGCTTGTTCAGAAGAGATGTTCTCATAGCATTTTTAAAAATATGAAACACATGTTTTTATTTTACATTTTTATTCTGATACAATCTGAGGAATATTAAACTTTTCTGCTTCTTTTTGTTATCTTCAGTTTCTAATGTTTTCACAATTATACGTTACTTGTGCAGTTTTTTATATATATTAAAATACTTAAACCTTTCAAATAAGGAGAAAAAAAAAGGAATCTGAGTTTAGTGCATCCTCTCCCTTGGATGATGAGACTGGAAGACTAACAAAACTCTCATTTTCCTATTGTTTTATTCATTGGAGTCACTCATTCAATCTTTAAACAGCTCTTTATTAACTGCCTGCTATGAGTAAGCCACTTTGCTAAGAAGATTCCCACATTCCTAGGTCATTTGTCATTCATACAACACCTTTATGCACTTCAATGGCCTTTTATCACATTCTTTCATTATCAAAATTACAAACAATCCTTTACTAATTTCAGTTTAAGGCAACGACTTCTAATATGACATATAGAGATATACTTAAATATCTTCAATGAGCTATCTCTACACTATATGTGGAAATTAGCTTTTCTGAACTTATTGATAGATTTTTCTAATTTTGTCATAACTATTTCATTAAAATGGAGTGAGGATAGATAGTAGTTCATGTTGTTTTATTTATTACTCTATCCTCATTGCCTAGGAAAGAAACTGACAGAGAGTGGATACTCAATATTTATTAAATAAATCAGATCAGGGATCAATTTTTTGAGAGTGCTAAACGTTTTCTAAGGAAAGTCTTATTTCCAAATTTTACATTAAAAGATGATTCTCTTCTTTTAGTTATATCTCAGAATTTTCTAATACTGTTCAAGAGTTTCAAAGAAAATAAGAATATGAAAGAAAAATTGTAACAAATGCTTAATTTGCTGGTGTGTAATGTTACATTCTGGCCTGAAGATGGCAGTCATCCACACCTTCAGTGGGTGAGACTTTCTTTGGTTGAGGTCCAGGAAAGACACTGATTCTTTTTTGTTTGCTTCCTTAGGTCTGTGGCCATGCAGGCAGCTGCACTGGGTTCCTCTATTGGAACAGCAATTGTTGGAGGTCTGATTACAGGTCAGCATAAAAAGCGAACACTTCCCTGTATCTTATGCTCTCAGATTATTTACAATCGATAATTAATGAGCAAGTCAATTGCTAAATTCAAAAATGTTCTAATCTTCTGGCAGTAAAGTAATTATGCCAGCTAAAGGGGATGATTTTATAATAGGATATTAACTACTATGCAAGTAGATTTTCCTCTTCAGCATCACGACATGACTCATTTTCCCTCTACTGTCACAGGTTTAATTCTAAAGTTGCCTTTTTGCGGACAGCCATCTGACCAGGACTGCTATGATGATTCTGTTTATTGGGAGGTACTGTACAGTATTCTAAACAAGAATGTGAATGATGGCTTCATTAGTGAAAGCTTTACTCACTTCAAGCCTAGATATCTGTGTGGCATATGTGTGATGAAATTGAATTAGCCTGGCATGGTAGCTCACACATGTAATCCCAGCACTTTGGGTGGCCAAACCTGGAGGATTGTTTGATGCCAGGAGTTCAGGACCAGCCTGGGCAACTCTCTACAAAAATAATAAATAATAAATTTAAAAATTTTCTTTCCATGGGATGTCAAGTGTAAAAGAAAAATACATAAATAAAAAGGAACTGAATGAACTACCTATATATAGAGAGAAATTGAGATGATGTGCCCAGCCAGATAAAATCAGAAGTTATGGTATTTTCTAAAGCAGAGGTTAGATAAAGAAAAGAAAGAATTTAGTTAGCAAATGTTGTTTCACTCCTCTGAGAGCCATAAAAAAGCTATTCATAAAAATAATATGAATTATCAGAAATAGTGTGAGATTTTATACCATATATGGTCCACAGGTTTATTTGGTTAAAAAAAAAAAAAGAAATTTAACATAATTATAAACTATGCCATAGGTAAAAGTAGTCAAAAGCAAGTGAAACACATAAAGTTGAAGAATTTGAGTGAGTACACATCAAAAGTGAGTACACATCAAAATGAATAACAAAACATCAGCCTCTTTCTATCCTCCAGTTTCTCTTTACTCTATTGATACTTTCCCCCAAATTATTTCCTGCAAAGCTTGAGAAGGATAGATGTTTGGGTGTTCTCAGCAAAATTTCAGGGAGAATTAGTTTGCAAAAGCAGGAATGTAGTCAGGGTGGGTGAGATAAATATTTTATTCTTTTATTTTTCTTCAACTCAAACAATTTTTATTCCCAGTTCTTTCCAAGCTTGAATAATAATTACCAAAAATATTTTTATTTCAATACTAACTTCTGACAAGCACAGTGAAATAAACTATTAAGTGCCCCCAAACTTGTTTTTTTAAAGGTGCCTATATTGAGAGAGCCTGACCATCACTTCCATGGACATGGTGACCACAGCCAGCTGGAACCTGAAGTCTAAACACCATTCCTGCTCTCCAGCTTCCTTTCCCATTATGAAGAATCAAGTCCAAAAAAAAAAAGGCAGTAACCAAAGAGAGTATGGACCAGAGTGAATAGATCCTAAGTCTCAAATGGCCAGTGTAAAGATGTCCTTATGTCTGATGCTGTCTCTTGCTCTTCAATGACTAATTGAGGGGATGTGACTCATAAAACAGATAATCAAATAGATCTTCTCCAGGATTCCCAAAATGCTTTTGGCAGTGAGTAAATACAGAGTAAACATGTCAGTTTCTTAATGTAGACACTATGTCTTCAATTCCCAAAATTATAAAACTGAAACCCGTGAAGCAAGAATAGATGTGAGAAATCTATGTAAAAAACAAATTAAAGAAATGCATGTGTGTAAAGTAGTAATATGATGATTTTAGGTAGTGCTTTTCATTTTAAAAATGGTCTAGTTAGTAATGTTGTATCCTTGCCTGAATATTATTCTGAATTCCTTTTGCATGTTTACTATTTGCAATGAGCTCAAATGCTATCTGATCAAAGCCTATTTTGTATAAAATGTCCAATAATTAAATATTGTTATAAAATAAAACATTAGTCTTTGAGTCTCCTTTCTTTGGTAGTTGGAATTCATGTCAGTAACAAGCACATGTGCGCACACCACACACACACACACACACACACACTTCATATTTAGTCCACACTCAATTTAAATATATTATTTGTCATGTATTTGCTATTTTTAAAAAATCAAGTTAATGACTCATTATAGAATGTTGTAAAAAGTTAAGTTTTAGAAAAGATAACTGACATAGTCAAAAGATCATTTTTAAGAAAAATCAAGTAACTTATTTTTTCTATCTGGAAGCTTTTAAGATTTTTCTTCTAGCCTTGGAGTCCTGAAATTTTCCCAAGATATATCTAGGTACCAACAAGGCAATCAGTCCTCCCATAATTAACAGAATGCCAGCTTCTGAATGAACTTACAAATTATAACTAAGAGTGGATTATTTAATATTTTATTCCTTGAAAAAAATACATCATGTATATTTTGTTCATGTATCTTACTTGACATTGTTGACTTCTTTTAAACACACATCAGAACTTCTTTCAAATAGGTGTTTTGGAGTGTGCTCACTTATAAAGTCCACTGTTCACTCCCTTCTGATCCTTACAAAGAATCATTTCATTACCAGGGTAATGAGACCTCCTCCCCGCTCTGCTGGTCATAAAGCAAATCTTGGAGGGCCTTGGGTATACTTAGGAACATGTAAGTCAGTCTGTCATTTTTATGTGCTAAGGAACTGGCTCATGATCATCTTCACTCCCTGGCTTGTAAACATTCTCTCCTGCCTTTCTACAGGGCAGTTCTTGTAGGTAAAAAAGCCTTACTTTTCCAGTTCTGAGTTAGTGGTCTTCTTTTCACAGTAGAATAATATCTTTTTTATCTATCTTGCCTGGAATTTGGTGAAGCATTTCAATTGTAATACTTGAGTCTTCTGTTCAGATACATTTTGTTCTACTATTTAGTAACTTTGTCCTCTTCAACTGTTAATTTTTTCTTTTTCTGGCGCTCTTGTTATTCATATGGCAAGTCTGCTTGGACTCTTATACAAGATCTTCCCGATCGTTATTTCATTGGTTCTATTCATCCATTTCATCAATTTATTTTTGTTTGTTTCATTGTTTGCAAATCATGGTCCGTTTTTGTAGGTCCAGCAAATCTGTGTGTGTGTGTGTGTGTGTGTGTGTGCGCGTGCGCGCGCGCGTGCACACGCATGCATGTATATATGCCATGCTTGAATTTCCTTACTTTTATAATTTTGTTTATTGGAGAGGGGTGCTACTTTTGTTCAAGTTCAAAATCTGTCTGCAAAACTTATATAACATTATACTTTATCTGTTCACACACACAAAAAAAAAACATTTAGGATGTTAACTAATACTCTATTTATGATAATAGAAATCTCAAGCTGTACTTAACATGATCAATTTCAGGAAGTTTTTGTTATTTTTTTTTCTTATCTAAATCTGAAAGATTGACTCATGATTACTAACTGCAATTTCAGACCCTTTGGTGAAAGCTACAATCTTCAAGCTTCCCCAACCCTTTTTTCCACAGTCTGTAACCTGTTTCTTGCACAAGACAAGAACACTCTGCTGAACAGGGGTATAGGGGGACTTCACTAGTAGCTGTGTTTTGTTAGGAGCCACTTACTTTGGGTGTTTTCTTGATTCTCTTCACTTTGAGTGCTGGAACCATTAGATAGATTGTCCGTTTTCTTTTTGTCTATTCACTGAGGGTTAAATTCCAGCTGCTGAGATACCTTGGGTGACAAAAATCTTAAAAATGAAGGAAGGAACAGTAATCTCTGGCTGAATGGATTAAAGTTTTGCCAGATGCCAAAACAGAACTCCCCTGGATTGGCACCTAAAGGAAATCTCTTTGTTCTTTAGTTTTTTTCAGCTGCCAAAGCTTCCTGTTATCTTAGAATCAGGGCCAAAAGAAGCTCAATGTATCTGCCAAGCCCTCCTGCCACCTATGGGGGACCAGAAAGACCACTGTCATTTCAGGAACACTCAATTGAGAAGCTACGTCACCATCCACTGGGAATTCACAAATCTCTGCAAACCAGCAGAACATTACCCCATGACTCTCTACAACTGCTTCCAGACTTTCCTCCAACACAGAGGAGGGAAGTTCTCTGTAGGTTTTGTCATTGGTGTATTCCCAGAATCTAAAGGTTTCACATCCTTCAGGCCAGGTTAATGCATAGCTCAGGAGAGGTCCTCTAGTTTAATTGTGGACAAGGTAAGAGGGACACATTGAAGCTCCCATCTCCCCACTTAAATAAGGTTTAAAGATGTCACTCCATGTATTTTACAACTCGATAATGTTCCATGTTCCATTTAAAGTCTGCTCTTTTAAGAGCAGACACAATTCATTTATTTCTTTGTAACCCTCACATCTTCAATAGAGCACATGTTTTAGGGAAGCTTGTTTAGTGGATGAATGGATAAATAATTGAATGACTTGAACAAACCAAGGCAATCAGTCTCAAAGAAGCAAAGGGACCCTTTTTAAAATTTATCTGGTTACTCATTTATTCAATAATAATTCATTAAGCACTGGCTAAGTTTGACTCTATAAATACAAAGTCATATAAAATAAAGCTCTTGACCACAAAAAAAAATTGTTTGCAGCTTTTCCTAGAGTATAGCTGGTGGATCAGTGACATACTAAAGTGCCTATACTAACAGGTTCTATTATGGTAGCATACAGGGTGGTACACATAGGAGGAGACAAGAACCTAAATCAAATTCACCCACTCAAGGAAAACTTGTCAGAAAAAATTTTTAAATGACATAAACAAAGCATACAGCTAAGAAGAGACTGGATTAAGGACCAATTCTTCTGAAAATAAAGCTGATACTCTTTCCTCTGGAGACCACCCTGTCATGAAATGAAAGATTGGAAGTCTGCTCAATCAATTTCTTCTTCTCTTTTTGAAGATAGAAGTTATTTGTGTAAGAGTGTGAGTGCTAACGTGGAGTAGGTCGGCGGGGGAGATTAACAAATGGGAGGCGTTAACAAATCCATGAACTATCGGATCTCTCCACTCTTCCCTTTACTTCCTGAGCCACCTTCCTCTATCCCCGTCCAACTCCAGACCTAAGTTCCCTTCTATTTTAGGAGTATAAAATCGAGTCTTTTCTAACTAATAATTTTGGCTTTTATCTTGGCCTTATTTTGATGGGTGTTCATTGAAAATCTCTCAGAGTAGTATCTATTCCAGCTTCATCTAACTGAAATGACAGCAGTTACAGTGCACCCCGGTTTTGTTAACCAGACAGACACTTCCAAGAATTAATTTGATAGAAAGTATAATTCCATCAGGCTGGGCGCAGTGGCTCACACCTGTAATTCCAGCACTTTGGGAGACTGAGGCGGGCAGATCACCTGAGGTCAGCAGTTCGAGATCAGCCTGGCCATGGTAATATCCCCCCCTACTAAAAATACAAAAATTAGCCAGGCATGGTGGCATGCACCTGTAATCCCAGTTACTCAGGAGGCTGAGGCAGGAGAATCACTTGAATCCAGGAGGCAGAGATTGCAGTGAGCCAAGATCATGCCATAGCACCCCAGCCGGGGCAACAGAGCAAGACACCATCTGCAAAAAATATATATATATAAAATACATAATTATATATATAATTATATATTCTATATATATTCTATATAAATATATATTATATATTTTATATAAATATATAATAATATATGATATAATGTATGATATATTATATATGATATATGATATATTATATGATATAATGTATGATATATGATATATGATATATTATATATTATGTATGATATATGTTATATATTATATATAATGATATCATATATTATATATAAAAATATATTATATTATATATTATATATATACAAATTATATGAGACCTTCTTTTGAACAAAGTCCTTCTCCCTTCTTTTGGCCTTGAATTTAATCCTTTCTTAGTGTTTTACTATTTAAGTGTCTTTAGACAGAATACTTTCTCTCTGAGCCTCTGAATTCAGTTATAAAAAGAGATAATACCTATTCTGCAGAGGTATTTTGAGGATGGGGTGGGACACACAATTCAGGCTATAACAACCATCGGATCCTGATACCCCATTCAAGTTTTACCAAATGTTTTAATGATGTCCATTATAGCAAAAGGATCTAGTTCAGGATCCTATTTTATACCTAGTTGCTTGCCTCTTTAGTCCTTCAATCTGGAACAGTTCCTTGGTGTTTCTCTGACTTGCATGACCTTGACACTTTTGAAGATCGTAGGCTAGTTATTTCATAGAATGTCCTCAATCTGGGTTTTTCTGATGTTTCCCCATGATTAGATTTAGGTTATACAACTTTAAGAGCAATATCACAAAAGTGAGCCTATATACTGAATTGCATCCTACCAGGTAGAATTATTTTTGAACTTGTTCCATTATTAATGATTATTCACTTCCATCATCGATGAAGAGCATGTTTCTCCACTATAAAGCTTCTTGTTTTGTTTTATAGTTCATTTTATTTTCTGTGAAAGCAATATGAAATGTCCCACATCCCTATGTCAATGTCCCGTTCCTCCTTAATCTTTCAATGCATTCATTTATTAACTTTTATCACAATAGATTCATTTTTTTATTTTATTAAATTATTTACAATACATTATAAAAACATTTGTTGTGATAGTGAGATTGTCCCAGATTTGCTAGTGTAAGTCTATTCATGCTGGTTCCTATGTCTTTCTGAGATGTGTTCATCTTATCCTTTTCCTATTGTAGCTCTTTTCTCAATTCCTAATTTCTTTGTTTTTGTCTCTTTTTGTTTGTTTTTTGTTTGTTTGTTTTTGAGACAAAATTTTGGTCTTGTTTCCCAGGCTGGAATGCAGTGGTGCAATCTCGGCTCACTGCAAACTCCATCTCCCAAGTTCAAGAGATTCTCCTGTCTCAGCCTCCCGAGTAGCTGCGATTACAGGAGCCCGCCACCAAGCCTGGCTAATTTTTTGTATTTAGTAGAGACAGGGTTGGTCAGACTGGTCCTGAACTCCTGACCTCAGATGATCCACCCGCCTCGCCTCCCAAATTGCTGGGATTACAGACATGAGCCACCGCACCTGGTCTCTGATTTCTTTTAGTTGTATTTAGAGTCTGAGATCTGCAAGTTAGGTGTGCTCATTGCTACTGGGATGTTGCCTTTCTCCAGCCCTCTCAGTTGTAGAGATAGGGAATATAAATGTCTCTGAAGGCATATATTTTCATCTACAATTATTTCTATATCTATCTATATATTTTAATATTCAATGAGTTCTGCTATAATGCTTGTTTTGAAAATGAGAATCTGTTTCAGTACAGTTGACATACTAAGGAACAAATTGAGCATAGTATATATTTTGTGTTTGCTTATGCATTATTTTGTTTATAAGAAACACAAGATGAAACCAGAAAACTGCATCCAGCTGAAACAAGCCTGGACACAAAATATGCACACATGCACAAATCTCTATATTACCTCAGTTCATCTCATGTGCTATGAGCTATACCCAGCTCATCTAATGTCACAGCTTTCTGTCTGATTTCAAGCAAACCTCTTCTGCCATTTCATAAGTTGCAATTCTTCTGTTCCCCACTTCCACAAGCAAACTTCAGGTCCTTTTCAAGGTAAAGTGGCATATTTAGTATAATATTTATGTACTTCTTACCCACTTAACATATGTAAACTGTACTATCATTTTTAAGCTTCAATCTTTCGTGTGTGTGTCAGTAATGAAGTATTTGAGTTTTGTGCTCCATAAGCCTTGTGAGTTTTACTGTGTAATTCTGCGTGGCACAACAATTTTAAGTAATCAGCATGTCATGTTATAAAATAACTGATTCTATCCAAAACCATAGGTTTGTTGCTGTGCATGGTGGCTCACACCTGTAATCTTAATACTTTGGGAGGCCAAGACAGGAGACTCCCTTCTCCAACAGCAACAAATCAGATTCCTATCATCCTTACTATAATTACTTAATTGATCAAGCTCCTGTATGTAGCCAGTCTTTCATCACTATTGTTGCCCCATTCTCCATGCACATGGCTTCCACACCACTCACAATCAGGCTCCATAACCAGGGTTTCCCCTCTGTGTATGCCACTTTACCCTGCACAAGGCTATGACAATGCACACCAGACCACTTTTCCCTGTGGTCACTCTTCTCACGCCTCTTGGCTCTTATTCTCTCCAGGGAGCAGCCCTCTTACAGGCACACACACCTCACACTGCTCAGGCTCCAACATGTCGTGATCTCAACCATCACATCCCTTCATCACTGGCTGTGGACACCTACCTTGTTCTACCCAACTCAATGGCTATGTAACTGAATTGTTCATTAAAAGAAAAAATGAGAGAGGAAGAGCAAGAAAGAGAGTTGCCATTTTGGGCAGAGGAATAAAGAGTAGTGAACCATGACCCTGGCAGATTTCTATTTCCTGGACTTGCGTTACAGAATTAGCTCTATTTTACTTCGGAAAAGTCTTTTATTCTTATTGAAGGAGTGAGCTGGGGACAAATTCCTAGCCATCCTTCTTCCAAAATTCTAGTGGAATATACACAAATGGGGCATAAAATGACTAAAAAGTACTGCTGCATAAACTGGTGGTTTAATAATTGTGGATGTTTAATGTGTTGTGCATTAAGGAAATTCATTTTATCCTTGATTTCAAGCAGAAAGTGATTTTTTAGTTCAAAATGAGTTCTACATGTCCATGATAAAAACATACAGAATATACTTCTTTTATAG